AGTTATGTTAATCCCACAAAGGAACATTACATTTTTATTTTTGTATAGATGTCAATATCTCAGCTAGAGAGGTCTAGAGCCTCCCCAAACTACAAATCCCAGGACTTCATAGATATATAATTATCTACACTGCATCATGAATGCAGCTTGACCCCACTTTAACTGCCATAGTTCAATGCTACGGAATCCTGGGAGTTGTGGTTTTACAAGGCCTTAGTCTAAGTTTATGTGGCTTCTCCTTAAGGTGACATCATTAGAATAATAATAAATATTTGTACAAAAGTTCAAATAAAATAGAAAATAAATGTAAAATTTGTAGTTTGAATGGATTCCCATATATATATGTGTGTGTGTGTTTCCTAAAAGTTGCCATATATAGGGATAATTGCAATTAAATGTACAAAATATTCATTAGAAAAGTTTCCAAAATATAAATATATTAACAATATAAAATGTAATATGAGTTAATTTCTGATATGTATGGAGACTTTTGGGACAATATATATACATACATACACACACACACACATACCACACACACATACATGTATTTATATATATACATGCACATATATAGTTTCCAAATACATTAAAACTTTTATTAATAGTTTCTAATCACACAAGATAGAAACAATGTAAAGCAAAACAAATGCAAAACTTTCTTTAAAAATTACATTAATAAAAAAATTAAATTTATAAATGTATTAAAAAGAACAAGAGAACGCGTACACACACATATACATACATGGTAAAAGGTAAAGGTTTCCCATGACATAAAGTCTAGTCGTGTCTGACTCAGGGCTGGTGCTCATCTCCATTTCTAAGCCGAAGAGCTGGCCTTGTTCATAGACGCCTCCAAGATCATGTGGCTGGCATGACTGCATGGAGCACTGTTACCTTCCCACAGAAGCGGTACCTATTGATGTACTCTCATTTTGCATGTTTTCGAACTGCTAGGGTGGCAGAAGCTGGGGCTAACAGCGGGAGCTCACCCTACTCCACAGATTTTTGGTCAGCAAGTTCAGGAGCTCAGCGGTTTAACCTGCTGCGCCACCAGGGGGCCACTTATACATACACATTCATACATATATATATATATACACAGACACAGTTTCCAAATACATTAAAACTTATTAGTTTTTAACCACAGAATATAGTAATAATGTAAAACAAAACAAATGCAAAACTTTAAAAAATAAAATTTAATGAAAATTAAATATAAACAAGAAAATGTGTATATATATGTGTGTGTGTATACTATATGTAGTGTCCCAAAAGGCTCCATAAGTAAAGGTAAAGGTTTCCCCTTGATATTAAGGGCCCTTCCACACAGCCTTATATCCCAGAATATCAAGGCAGAAAATCCCACATTATCTGAGTGTGGACTGAGATAACCCAATTCAAAGCAGATATTGTGGGATTTTCTGTCATGATATTCTGGGATATAGGGCTGTGTGGAAAGGCCCTTTGTCTAGTTGTGTCCAACTCCGGGGATTGGTGTTCATCTCAATTTCTAAGTCAAAGAGCCAGTGTTGTCCGTAGACACCTCTCCAAGGTCATGTGGCCAGCATGACTGTATGGAGTGCCATTACCTTCCTGCCAAAGCGGTACCTATTAATCTACTCACATTTGCATGTTTTTGAACTGATAAATTGGCTGAAGCTGAGGCTAACTGTGGGAACTCAGCCCACTTTCCAGATTTGAACCGCCAACCTTTCGGTCAGCAAGCTCAGAAGCTCTGCAGTTTAACCCGCTGCACCACCATACATAGGAGAAATTATCTCCTATATTTTATATTTTTCATATATTTATATTTTGTAAGTGCTCATAATGCGTATTTAGTAAATAAATGGCACATTAGTTAAAAGCAGATATTGTGGGATTTTCTGCTTTGATATTCTGGGATATAGGGCTGTGTGGAAGGGCCCTCAGTTACAGTCATTCCCAAGAGCCTTTCCACACAGCCATATAACCCAGAATATCAAATCAGATAATCCACAATATCTGCTTTGAACTGGATTATCTGTATCTACACTGCCATATAATCCAATTCAATGTGGATTTTAGACAGCTGTGTGGAAGGGGCCCAAGTGTAGCCAGGGCAGTTCATGTGGTACCAAACCGCATTAAGAGTTTTAGATTTACCAAAGGTCTTCCTTGCCCTAGGGCAGTGTTTCTCAACATTCCTAATGCGCTGACCCCTTAATCCAATTCCTCATGTTGTGGTGACCCCTAACCATAACATTAATTTAGTTGCTCCTTCATAACTGTCAATTGGCTACTGTTATGAATTGTAATGTAAATATTTGTTATGCAGGACGTATTTTTATTCACTGGACCAAATCTGGCACAATTACCCAATATGCCCAAATCTGAATAATGGTGTTGGGAGGGGGATTGATTTTGTCATTTGGGAGTTGTAGTTGCTGGAAATTATAGTTCAACTACAATAAAAGAGCATTCTGAAGTCCACCAATGATGGAATTGAACCAAATTTGGTACACAGAACTCCCATGACCAAGAGAAAATACTGGAAGGGTTTGGTGGACAGTGACCTTGAGTTTTGGTCTTGTAGTTCACCTACACCCAAAGAGCACTGTGGACTCAAACCATGATGGATCTGGACAAAACTTGACATGGATCCTCAATATGCCCAAATGTGAATACTGGTGGAGTCTGGGGGAAATAGACCTTGACATTTGGGAGTTGTAGTTGCAGGGATTTATAGTTCACCTACAATCAAAGAGCACTTTGAACCCCGGCAACGATGGAATTGAACTAAACTTGGCACACAGAACTCTCACAACCAACAGAAAATACTGGAAGGGTTTTGGTGGGCACTGACCTTGAGTTTAGGACTTGTAGTCCACCTACATCCAGAACCCCCATGACCAACAAAAAATACTTTGTTTTCTGATGGCCTTTGGTGGCCGCTCTGATACCCCCCTTCTGACCCCCTCAGGGGTCGCGACCCTCAGGTTGAGAAACACTTTGTTGTTCGTTCTTTCAGTCATTTCCGACTCTTTGTGACTCCATGGACCAGTCCACACCAGAGCTCCCTGTCGGTTGTTACCATCCCCAGCTCCTTCAAGGTGAATCCAGTCACTTCAAGGATGCCATTCATCCATCTTGCCCTTGGTCGGACCCTCTTCCTTTTTCCTTCCATTTCCCCCAGCATAATTGTCTTCTCCAAGCTTTCCTTTCTTCTCATGATGTGGCCAAAGTACTTCATCTTTGCCTCTACTATCCTTCTCTCCAATAAGCAGTCAGGCTTTATTTCCAGAAGTATGGACTGGTTGGATCTTCTCGCAGTCCAAGGCACTCTCAGAACTTTCCTCCAACACCACAAGTTCAAAAGCATCTCTCTTCCTTCGCTCAGCCTTCCTTCTGGTTCATCTCTCACATCCATAGGTGACTACGGGGAATACCATTGCTTTGACTATGCGGATCTTCGTTGCCAGTGTGATGTCTCTACTCTTCACTATTTTATCGAGATTGGACATTGCTCTCCTCCCAAGAAGTAAGCGTCTCCTGATTTCCTGGCTGCAGTCTGCATCTGCAGTAATCTTTGCGCCTAGAAATACAAAGTCTGTCACTGCCTCCATGTTTTCTCCCTCTATTTCCCAGTTGTCAATCATTCTTGTTGCCATAATCTTGGTTTTTTTGATGTTTAGCTGCAACCCAGCTTTTGCGCTTTTCTTTCACCTTGATTAGAAGGCTCCTCAGCTCCTCCTTGCTTTCGGCCATCAAAGTGGTGTCATCTGCATATCTAAGGTTGTTAATGTTTCTTCCAGCAATTTTCACCCCAGCCTTGCATTCGTCAAGCCCCACACATCACATTATGTATTCTGCATTCAAGTTGAATAGGTTGAGTGAGAGTATACAACCCTTCTGTACGCCTTTCCCAATCTTGAACCAGTCTGTTGTTCCATGGTCAGTTCTTACTGTTGCTACTTGGTCCTTATACAGATTCCTCAGGCGGAGACAAGGTGATTTAGTATGCCCATACCACCAAGAACTTGCCACAATTTAGTATGATCCACACAGTCAAAGGCTTTAGAATAGTCCAGTGTTTCTCAACCTGGGGGTCGGGACCCCGGGGGGTGGGGTCACAATGGGGCGTTGGAGGGGTCGCCAAAGACCATCAGTATACACAGTATTTTCTGCTGCTCATGGGAGTTTTGTGTGGGAAGTTGTCCCAATCCTATCGTTGGTGGGGTTCAGAATGCTCTTTGAGTGTAGGTGAACTATAAATCCCAGTAACTACAACTCCCAAATGTCAAGGTCTATTTTCCCCAAACTTCACCAGTGTTCACATTTGGGCATATTGAGTATTCATGCCAAGTTTAGTCCAGATCTATCATTGTTTGAGTCCACAGTGCTTTCTGGAGATAGGTGAACTACAACTCCCAAACTCAAGGCCAATGCTCACCTAACCCTTTCATTATTTTTTGCTGGTCATGGACGTTCTGTGTGCCAAGTTTGGGTCAATTCCATCTCTGGTGGAGTTCAGAATGTTCTTTGATTGTAGGTGAACTATAAATCCCAGCAACTACAACTCCCAAGGTCCAGAGAATGAAAATACATCCTGCCTATCAGATATTTACATGACGATTCATAACAGTAGCAAAATTCCAGTTATGAAGTAGCAATGAAAATAATTTTAGGGTTGGGGGTCATCACAACATGAGGAACTATATAAAGGGCGTTAGGAAGGCGTTAGGAAGGTTGAGAACCACTGGAATAGTCAATAAAACAGAAATAGATGTTTTTCTGAAACTCCCTGCCTTTCTCTATTATCCAGCATCCGGATACTGGCAATTTGGTCTCTTGTTTTTGCGTGTGAATTGAATTGGCGGGGCGCCTCCTTAAGAAAGGAGCGTCCTTAAGTCTCCCGGTGGTGCCCCTCCCTTGCAGGAAGGCGGGGAAAGGGGCGCGCCCTATATGCAAATTCCCCGGGCCCGTGACGCGCGCCTCGGGGCCCCGCCCCCTGAGCCCCAGGCGCCTTGCAGAAAAGCAAAAGTTGTCCAGTGGAGCGGCTGTGTCCCCAGAGCGAGCCTGAACATGGCGCTGGGAGGAGGAGGAGGAGGAGGAGGGGGCTCCCCGTTGGGGGCTCTGCTCCTCCTGTCGGTGGGATGGGGTCTCCTGAGGGCCAGTGACGCCGCCGCCCCTTCCTCCTCATTGCCCGAGGGCGCCCCTTTGATCCTGGGCATGAGGCTGGACCACACTGACCACCCAGACCCAGAGGTGCAAGACCTGTCCATCATCCAGGTGTTGGAAGGCACCCAGATCCTGCTGCGCCTCTACGGGCTCCGCCTGCCCAGCCGCCTTTACGAGATGGTCTCCTTTTCGGAGGTGGGCCTGGGCCAGGGCGCCAACTCCAGCCACGCCAACGCCACATGCTTGGAGAAGACCCAAGACTTAGTGGTCCAACCCAGGACGCTGCCCGAAAGCGCCCGAGGCCACTCGGCCGTCGTCGCCGTGCAGGTGCAGCTCCTCCGCAAAGCCGAGAAGTCCAAGCTGTACGTGCTGTGCACCCGGAGCGAGGTGGGGCGGCCCTGGGTGCCGCTGTCGGGCGAGGACGCCTTCCTGCGCGTGGTGGAGGAGAAGAAGCACCTGCTGCCCCTCTGGTTCCAGATCATCCTCATCCTGGCCTTGCTGGTGCTCTCCGGCATGTTCAGCGGGCTCAACCTGGGCCTCATGGCGCTGGACCCCATGGAGCTGCGCATCGTCCAGAACTGCGGCACCGACAAGGAGAAGCGCTACGCCCGGAAGATCGAGCCCATCCGCCGCAAGGGCAACTACCTCCTCTGCTCGCTCCTCCTGGGCAACGTCTTGGTCAACACGACCCTCACCATCCTCTTGGACGATCTCATCGGCTCTGGATTAGGCGCCGTAGTGGCCTCCACCTGTGGTATTGTCATCTTTGGCGAGATTGTGCCCCAGGCCTTGTGTTCCCGCCATGGCTTGGCGGTGGGCGCCAACACCATCATTCTCACCAAGTTCTTCATGCTGTTGACCTTCCCGCTCTCCTTCCCCATCAGCAAACTCTTAGACTGTGTCCTCGGACAGGAAATCGGCACTGTCTACAACCGGGAGAAGCTGGTGGAGATGCTGAAGATCACGGAGCCGTACAACGACCTGGTGAAGGAGGAACTCAACATGATCCAGGGCGCGCTGGAGCTACGGACCAAGACAGTGGAGGACGTCATGACCCCGCTCCATGACTGCTTCATGATCAACAGCGACGCTGTGCTGGACTTCAACACCATGTCGGAGATCATGGAGAGCGGCTACACCCGCATCCCCGTCTTCGAGGACGAGCGCTCCAACATCGTGGACATCCTCTACGTCAAGGACCTGGCCTTCGTGGACCCCGACGACTGCACCACCCTCAAGACCATCACCAAGTTCTACAACCACCCCGTCCACTTCGTCTTCCACGACACCAAGCTGGATGCCATGCTTGAGGAATTCAAAAAGGGTAAGGAAAGGGGGATGTCGTCAAAACTGGGGAAATGGCAAGGTTCATGCAGATGACGCAGTGGGTTGACACGCTGAACTTGCTGCAGGTTTGAATCCAGGGTACAGGATGAGCTCCCACTGTTAGCCCTAGCTTCTGCCAACCTAGCAGTTTGAAAACATGCAAATGGGAGTAGATCAATAGGAACCGTTCCAGCGCGAAGGTAATGGTGATCCTTGCAGTCATGCTGGCCACGTGACCTAGGAGGTGTCTACAGACAACACCGGCTCTTTGGCTCAGAAATGGAGATGAGCACCAACCCCCAGAGTTAGGCAAGACTGGACTTCATGTCAGGGGAAAACCTTGTACCTTTACCTTTTACATGATCTGGAATTCCAAAATATTTACGCATCCCTTAGCTGGAATTCCAAAGTAATTTGCCCATTACTATACAGCAAACTTCGGCCCTCCAGGTATTTTGGACTGCTTGTTGGGTGACTTTTGAGACTAGGCCAAGGCCTGTGTGAAATTATGGGTCCAGAAGATTATGGGGCTGTAGGTTGCCTGTCCCTGGAATGAACTCTTTGCAAAATGAAATAGAATAACAAGTGTCTTCGTCCACTTTCTTAAAGCCATTAATAAATAAACATAACTTGGGTCTTAACCGGTAAGGAAAATGGCATTTGCAACCTTTTGGAAAATGCATCTTAGAGAAGAGCCAAAAACCCTTCAGCGTAGAATCTTCTCTTGTGGTAGACAATTGGATATAATTATGCAAGGCATGGTTTCAGTTGTTAGACTGAATAACCTGTTATCTCTGATCTGTTAGGAAAAACAGAGATTTGCCAGTGCAGAAAGCCAACAGTTAGGAATCGTGGGAGTTGAAGTCCAAAACACTTAGAGGGCCAAAGTTGGCCCATCCCTGCTTCACAGTTTGGGCATCCCTCATCCAGAATTCAGAAATGCTCCAAAAGTGTCTACATGGGTGGCAGACATGATGGCATGCCTTGGGTTATGTCTATGAAGTGTACCGTTGGCTCTCCATATCTATGGATTCTTCATCCATGGATTCAACTATCCACAGTATCATAATATGTTTTTACAAATGCCAGAAAGCAACTCTTGATTTTGCCATTGGATGTAAGACACTGTTTTACTATGTCATTATATATAAACAGATTTGAGCATTCATGGGATTTGGAAATCCACAACAAGGTCCTGGAACCAAACCCCAAAAGATACCGAGGGCCACTGTATGTGAAATATAAATGTGTTTATTTTTATTATTATTCTACATTTATACCCCACCCTTCTCACCCCAGTGGGGGACTCAGGGCGGCTTACAATCCATGGCATACAGTGCTGCATTACACATATAATAATAAACATAACATATCAATTCAAACATACAATAATAAACATGACATAATAATTTGAATATAAATACAATAAAAAGCTTAGAAGTAATTCAAATAGAAATACGATAAAAAAGGTTAAAAGTAAACATACAATAATTCAAATATAAATACCAAAAAAAGCTTAAAAGTAGATGTGGGTCATGTCTCCGAGAGCACTAATTATGGACATATATGCAAATGTAAGGCCCCTTATATGGCAATGTGAACTTAGATCTCCCAGTTCAAGGCAGATATTGTGGATTGTCTGCCTTGATATTCTGGATTATATGGCTGTGTGGAAGGGACCAGGGTTTCTTGTGATAGCTTGTAGTTTGCCGTAGGTTGTTTCCTCAGCGAGGAGCTACAACCCATTTTGACTCCCCATTGAATATATTTTGCGTGATTTCTTTGCTGGCTTGCCTCATTCCTGTGTCCAATTAGCAAGAGAATAGAAAGAGCGTACCTTTCCTTTCCCCATCCTTGTTGATGGCTTCTGCCTTTGCTTTCCTTCTCACACCAGAAGCGACTTGCAGTTTCTCAAGTCGCTCATGACACGAAAAAAAATCCAAAAGTAGAAAACGGTCTTTTGAGTTATTTTTTGTCAACAGTCGTGAAATTAAGGTCAAAGCTTTTCCCTTCACCAGCCGTTTCAGTTCTGATATAAAAGAGGCATCCCCCCAAAACCCTCAAAACCTGGATGTTTTTGAAAATAATGTTTTGGTAGTGAAAGTCTACTTTGTATGTGATTCGTTTTCCTTGTAGGAAAGCAAGCTCACTAGGGTGAAATAGGATGAAGGCGAGGGAATGAAATCCTCTGGGATGAGATCCTTCCGGTCCTGGGGCAGATTAGCTGGAGGACAGCTGACTCCTCTTCTGGGTTTTATACTAGAACTAGCTTGAGTACTCGGCATTGCCTGTATTATTGAAAAATGCATAAGGTTGTGGGTGTACTACAACTCACACCATGCCCGGTTAACCCCCTGAAACTCCATCAATACTTTGTCATGTTGGGCAAGTTTGCTCTAGATCAGTGGTTCTCAACCTTCCTAATGCCACGACCTCTTAATCCAGTTCCTCATGTGGTGGTGACCCCCAACCACAACACTATTTTTGTTGCTATTTCACAACTGTATTTTGCTACTGTTATGAATCATAATGTAAATATCTGATATGGCACAAGTACCCAAATTTGAATACTGGTGGGGATGGGGGTGTTGATTTTGTCATTTGGTAATTGTAGTTGCTGGGATTCATATTTCATCCTGCAATCAAAGAGCATTCTGAAATCAATCAATAATGGAATTGAACCAAACTTGGCACACAGAACTCCCATGACCAATAGGGTTTGGTGGGCATTGACATTGAGTTCTGGAGTTGTAGTTTACCTACATCCAGAGAGCACTGTGGACTCAATCAGTGATGGATCTGGACCAAATTTGGCACAAATACTCAATATGCCCAAATGTGAACACTGATGGAGTTTGGGAAAAATAGACCTTGACATTTCGGAGTTGTAGTTGCTGGGATTTATAGTTCACCTGCAATCAAAGAGCACTCCAAACCCCAACGATGATGGACCAGGACCAAACTTGGCACACAGAACCCCCATGACCAACTGTGTTTTCTGATAGTCTTTGGTGACCCCTCTGACAGCCCCTCGTGACCCCCCCAGGGGCCCTGACCCCCAGGTTGAGAAATGCTGCTCTAGATGCATCATTGGCAAGGTTCAGTGTGCTTTCTGTCTGCAGGGTGAATTACAACTCTCACCATGGTGGGTCAGTCCCATCAAATCCCTCCAGTACGTTCAGTTGGTCATGGGGTTCTGTGTGTCAAGTTTGGTCCTGGTCCATCATCGGTGGGGTTCGGAGTGCTCTTTGATTGCAGGAGAACTATAAATCCCAGTACCTATAATGGCTATAAATCAAGGTGCATTTCCCCCAAATCTCTTCAGTATGTTTTGTTGGTTGTGAGACTTGGGTATGCCAAGTGTCAAGTCCAATCCCCCCACCCAAAACCCACCAGTATGCAAATTTTGGCATAGAATCATAGAATCCTAGAGTTGGAAGAGACCTCATGGGCCATCCAGTCCAACCCCCTGTCAAGAAGCAGAAATATTGCATTCAAAGCACCCCTGACAGATGGCATATCAGGTATACATGCCAAATTTGGTGCAAATCCATTAGTGTTTGCATTTACAGTGCTCTCTGGATGTAAGTGAACTATAATTCCTATAAATCAAGGTGAATTCACCCCAAAGCCCTCCAGGATTTTTTTTGTTGGTTGTGAAGGTTGTGTATACCAAGTGTGGTCCAGGTACATCGTTGATGGGGTCCAGAGTTCTCTTTGATTGCAGGTGAACTATAAATCCCAGTACCTACAATGCATATAAATCAAGGTGCATTTCCCCCAAAGCCCTCCAGGATTTTTTTTGTTGGTTGTGAAGGTTGTGTATACCAAGTGTGGTCCAGGTTCATCGTTGATGGGGTCCAGAGTTCTCTTTGATTGCAGGTGAACTATAAATCCCAGTACCTACAATGACTATAAATCAATGTTGTTCATTCGTTCAGTCGTTTCCAACTCTTCGTTGCTTCATGGACCAGTCCACGCCAGAGCTTCCTGTTGGTCATCACCACCCCCAGCTCCTTCAAGGTCAAAACAGTCACTTCAAGGATACCATCCATCCATCTTGCCTTTGACCGGCCCCTCTTCCTTTTCCCCAGCATAATTGTCTTCTCTAAGCTTTCCTTTCTTCTCATGATGTGTCCAAAGTACTTCATCTTGGCCTCTACTATTCTTCCCTCCAATGAGCAGTCGAGCTTTATTTCCTGAAGTATGGACTGGTTGGATCTTCTCGCGGTCCAAGGCACTCTCAGAACTTTCGTCCAACACCACAGTTCAAAAGCATCTATCTTCCTTCGCTCAGTCTTCCCTATGGTCAAGCAATCACATCCGTAGGTGACTATGGGGAATACTATTGCTTTGACTATGCGGATCTTCATTGCCAGTGTGATGCCTCTAATCTTTACTATTTTATCAAGATTGGTCATTGCTCTCCTCCCAAGAAGTAAGCATCTCCTAATCTCCTGGCCACAGTCTGCATCTGCAGTAATCTTTGCGCCTAGAAATACAAAGTCTGTCACTGCCTCCACGTTTTCTCCCGCTATTTCCCAGTTGTCAATCATTCTTGTTGCCATAATCTTGGTTCTTTTGGTGTTTAACTTCAACCCAGCTTTTGCGCTTTCTTCTTTCACCTTGATTAGAAGGCTCCTCAGCTTCTCTTCACTTTCGGCCATCAAAGTGGTGTCATCTGCATATCTAAGGTTTTTAATGTTTCTTCCAGCAATTTTCACCCCAGCCTTGCATTCCTCAATCCCCGCACATCGCATGATGTGTTCTGCATACAAGTTGAATAGGTTGGGTGAGAGTATACAACCCTGTCGTGCGCCTTTCCCAATCTTGAACCAGTCTGTTGTTCCATGGTCGGTTCTGACTGTTGCTACTTGGTCCTTATACAGATTCCTCAGGAGAGAGATAAGGTGATTTAGTATGCCCATTCCACCAAGAACTTGCCACAATTTATTATGATCCACACCGCCAAAGGCTTTGGAATAGTCAATGAAACAG